ATGCTGTCGTTCACCGTTCGCCCAGCTATTTCGCCTACTTAAACAGAATTAGAGCGATAGCGAAAACAGCTGATCCCATTTGGTCGCCTTTATAATTTGGGTGACCATATTTGGAAAAAACTAAATCATATTTAGAAATGAGGAAATGATAACAAATATAAATGTAAAACAAAGAAAGATTATTATAAATAATTTGTTTCAAGCCAGATTTAACGAATCCACAACTATATTTTTCAAACAACAAAAAAAAATCGTGTTTAGGTTGTTTTCTTTTAAAACTTTGAAAGCAAAAAAGAAATACGGCCACCTTTGGCACGCACAGCTGTCATCGCCCAGCAGGGCGATAGAAATAAATCTATCGCCATGAAACGCCGCCAAGCGAACTTCGCATTTCGCTTTGGCTGTGTTCAATTTCATATGCTTGCGGGTGTTCTAATTTTGATAACGCGAATTTCGCTGTGGTGAGTTCGCCGTTCGCCGGCATTGTATTTCAGCTATATCTTGTGTAAATTCGCCTTGTTAGTGATAAATATCTGTAAAGAAACAAAGCTACTGTGTGGTGTATTCAATATACATTTTTTGGTGAATTCTTTGGACAATTGTCAATTGCCCACAGAAATTATCAGGAATTGCGGAAAGAGGTAATTTTGTAAACAAACATTCTTATCATATTATCAAGAGATAATTGGTATTTTTTCTTATTTTTCAGATCTCTAGCTTATAGGCAGAGTCAGCAGCATACGTGGCGATTTTCGGAAAATAGTTTTCGTAGCGTTTTTGATGTTCTTTGGTTTTGTTGACATCGTCTTCTACCTCTTCATAGTGATCTTTTAGCGACTTGATGTGTTTTCTGCAGCGATTTAAACTATAAATTTTGATTTCTTTCAAATTTATGATATAAATGAAGTGCTTTGTGATTTGAACAAGTTTGTGCGTTGGTTTGGTTTGCCAAGAGGCGTAAATTTGCGTGAAAAGTGGGTGCACTTTTGCGGTCAGAACAAATCGAACTGTGCTGATGCTACGTGGTTGCAAAACACTTTCTATCAAGAAAACCATATTTTATGAACACCTTTGCCTCATTTTTATTCAGTTTCAGTTATTATATTTGATGATAAATGCCAATATAATCGCACTCAACCACCGCGCATTTTTCGTTTTCTTTGTTTGTTTTCATTCTTAGGTTTTGTACTTAAAATGACGATATGTATACTAAACCCTACCCTGTTTATTTATGTATTTATCATTAAGAAATTTCCATTAAAATAGATACAGTTCAGTGTCTAACAAAATATGTATGTATAAAAACGGAAATAATAAAGTTAATGTTTTTTAACTTAAGTGCTGTCTCTTTTATTTGAATGAAGGAATAAAATGTATACGGGGTTACAGAGTGTGAATTAAAGGAAAGAATACGCCTTTTTTAGCATTAATTTGTAATTTGTGAACCAAATAAAAAAAGTGGTGCATTTTAGGAGCTGGTGCAGTTTTCGTACTAATCTCAATGAATAAATAGTACCAAAACGTTAAAGGCAGAATTTTGAGTTGAGAAGAAGTACTGGCGGGATGACAAATACACCAAAATATTATCTTTTATTTAATCTAAACACATATGTACCAAAATTCATAAATATACACCAAGTTATACACCAGTGTGCTACTTGAGCTATTGCTGTCCATACTGCGGTTTGAGGTTTATAAAACAGTTCAAATGTAGAGAACATTGTCCGAATCTCAGAAACTCGATTCAGGACTAAATCCTGCAAAAATCGGAGCAAGAACAAATTTTCCGTACTAGATTGAATTTTTTATTTTCGTTTCTGACATTAATTGTTGACTTAAATATTTTCTATTCATGCAAAAACAATAACGCGAGCAAAGTAAGGACAATATGTTACATATTTAGGTAATCCTTAGCATTTTCTATAAAGTAGAACGTATCTAGCACTTAATTTTTTAAAGAGCAATAGGATCTAAGCCTTTTCTACTTTATATAAATTTCATTCTACAAATATTTTTTAAAAACTTAAGTAAAGTTCTGCATCCGCCAATTTCTACAGCCATACATCAAAAAATAATGAAGTTACTTTATTGACGCATTGCTATGAAAGAGTTACTCTTTAACAGTGAGATTTGGCAAACTTTCAATTTTTCTACTGAAACCGGTTGTGAACACTCAAAAAACGGCCCCAAGAGGGGCATAACATGAGTGAAAAAAAAAACGGAATTGATTTGAAGTCAAGCGGAGTAGAGTAGATTTCAAATTTTTTTCAAAAACCGGAGTAAATCTTATCTGATCTGAGTAAACTCCGACCACTAGGAGGGAACGAATTTTTTTTAATTTTAACGCTAATGACCCACAGATGGCGGGAAAACATAGGGTTGTATCAGACATTCGACGTGGTTTCGATTTGGTTAGCTTCTTCCGGTGTCCCCACCGGAGCTAACCACGTAGTTATGGCTGTTGAGTTGGTTATCCCGATAGCCTGGGTGGATCGGAAACTCGGCCTTTCTGACCACCCAGGAGATATCAATAAATGGAGTTACCCAAAAAGAATAGCGCGGATTGGAAACTCGGCCTTTCCAACCGTCTACATAACTTCCAGGAAATTGCAATATTATATATATATATTATATTGACATAAAATAATTGCAGTGATAAAGAAATAATGTTATTTAAAAATTTCTGTAGAGCATTTTGTATTTTGTATTTAATATTTAATATTTACATTTTAAATCTAAAACCTAATTATAAGAATGTTAAATCTTTGTTGCAATATAAGTCTAACAGACTGTAAAAAATAAATAAATAAATAACCTACTTGATTTAGCCTAGTTTCGCCATATAAAAATGACAGCACTTAACGATTTCATTGAGATGGTTAAAAGCTAACCAACTCGAAACCAAGTCGTAAGTCTGATACAACCCTGTGTTTTTCCGCCATCTGTGGGTCATTAGCGTAAAAATTTAAAAAAATTCGTTCCCTACTAGTGTTTGGATTTCATTAAGATTAGATTAGATTTACTCCGGTTTTTGACAAAATTTGAAATCTACTCCTCTACTCCGCTCGACTTCAAATCTATTCCTTTTTTTTCATCCATGTTATGCCTTCTTGGGGCCGTATTTTGAGTGTTCACCACCGGTCTCAGTATATAAATTGAAAGTTAACCAAATCTCACTGTTAAAAAGTAATTTTTTCATAGAAATGCGTCAATAAAGTTACTTCGTTACTTCGTTACCGAACACTGTTCTCTACATTTGTACTGTTTTATAAACCTCAAACCGAAGTGTGGACAACAATAGTTAGTGATGTTGTTAAGTTCGATTTGAGTTGGTTAACTTTTTGGTGGGGACATGGTATAAGTGGTGTCATTTTTATATGGTGAAACTACGCTAAATCAAGTGAGTTATCGGGATAACCAACTCAACAGCTATAACTACGTTGTTAAGCTCTGGTGGGGACATGCTATTAATGATGTACTGGACTGTGTAAGTACTTGTGTGTAAAGCAAAGAGTTTAAATTTGATTTATAAATAGTAAAATGTTTACAGCAGAATATCAAAACGGTGCAAAAACTATTCACTTGCAAGTTTTTACTAGTTTTGTGTTCAATTACTTCTGGTAGGTTTCTCTTCTGGAGAAGCATGATTCAATATTAGTTGCGTTCCCGTAGCTGGTTTAAATTTATGCAAATCACAAAATTGAATTTGATGGTTTGGAAGTTAAAAATGACAAAATGCGACTAATTAGTCTTGTAAGAAAGTAGTTATTTGTTTAATCAATAAACTGTGTCAGGATACCACTTTGTGATGAGTTTTCGCACGTTTTAAATTTTACACTTTTGAATGCAAACAAAAATTATATCAGCTGTTCGTCTAAGAGCATAAACAGACGGCAGCGTTGATCCGGATCAACTCGGGAATTAACTGAAGTTGATCCGGATTAAGTCCGTGTTAATCCGGATCAACGCTGCCGTCTGTTTAAGCTTTAACTTTCAATTTTCTGTTCGCGTACTGTTTTGGATATTTTTCTCTTGTGAGAGAACTGGTGACATTTCGCCGGAATTTTGCTGTTGGTTGGTTTTACTGGAGATTTTAAACAAACGCACTTAATACAAGGTTGGATAAATATTGACATTTGTGTCAATCGACTGCCTTGTAAGGTTGCAGTTGAGAAGGAAAGAGAAAGCGGGTAACCATTTTATCCCCTTTTGTGAGAAGGTAGTAGGAAAAGTAGTCTGGTAGTGCTGAAATGCGTATTTTGTGTAAAAATTGAATTAAATATATAAAGCAGATTCCGCTAATCTACACAATAGACAATGTGGTTGTTCACGCTTGCCTGGTTATCAGCTTATGAATTAAATGAAGAATGGGAGAATTTTATTCACATAAAACTCTGACCAAAGAAAAACCTTATCGAAAAATAAACCCCTGCTCTAATGTATTGTTTGATTGCTATCACTGTGGCAAGGTAGCTCATCGTTTTGTACAATTTATGAAACTTCAAGAACTTATTTTTTGTCAAAAATTTTGAAAAGAAACCATGAATCTTGAAATGAAACTACCTTCATTTTGTATCATGGGTGAACTATGCCTTTTTTGACACAAAAATGACGGAATTCGAATTGCATGCATTTGTTGCGATTTTGGTTGACTATGGCTTTGTCTCTTTTCTTTTCTAACAGATAATTATCAGAAAGAATGAGAAAATTGAAAGAGTTACGCTCACAGAGAGCGAAATAACGGAAAAGTAAAGAAACGCAAAACTAGCAAGTAATCAGCTGATCAATGTATTTGACTATTGAAAATATTTGGCACGAATTTTTGTTTATCCATTTTGACAGCTAGTAAAATTTTTACTAGCAGAAACTAGCAGGAGCCAAAGAAAGAACAGCGTAAGACCGAGAGCCGCTAGTTGCTGGTTTTTGGGGTTAAGAAACGCTTTCCAGCAGAAATTAGTGATAATTATCTGTTAAGAAACAAAGCTTATTTCTTAACTTGTTTTACCTTTTACTATTTTATTGTACTATTTTCTTAATAAATGGCATGTTTAAAAATTGTGTCGATATTATATAAAAGAAAATGTATGTACTAGTATTTCCATCAACTAGGTATTAGGAAACACTTTTATTTCTAAAATAACTAATTGATGATTGATCTAGTCCCACTTATTCGCTTCATTAATGTAATCTCCATCAGGACTAACATAGTTTTTAATAGGCGGTGTTTCTACCGGTCCCTTAACGTTTACAGGCAGAAGCGTAATATCTTTTAGAATAGCTTCTTGGTAAAGTTCTTCGGATTCCTTCCGTAGCTCCTCCAAAGCCCTATTTTGCGATTGAATCAGCCTGTCTATATTTTGGAAATCCAAAAGTTTTTCGTGGTGCTTGTACTTTGCCCATTTTTTGTTTAGCAGTGCACGTGTTTCGATCTCTTCATCTCGCAATGTACTAAATTTACGTGTGCGTTCTCTAAAAATATAAAAAATTATCCATATTCATTACACAATCTAAAAAGCATACTCTTTTTCATCTAAAAGCGTAAGAGGAGCTTCCAATTCTTCGATTGGTTTCAGTTGTCTTGCATTTTTTTCCAAACGACGAATTTGTTTTTCTAATTTCTTTTTACGGCGGTCTTCTCGCTGCTTTATAATTTGTGGATCTAATTTTTTCTTTTTCTTCAGCGGTTCAGCACATAGCATTGGAGTCAAATATACTAGGCTAACGCTTGTAGTACTTACCTTTCGAAGCGATGACTGCAACGCCAACCTGAAATTATGTACAATGAATAAAAAAGTGTTTTTCTTTAAACCCCTTGTTTACATTACTTGCTGAAAGGTGCTAGAAAAATCATTTTTTTATATTTCCCCGAAATCCTGAGTTCTACGGCAAATTAGAGATGCGTGATACCGATACGATATTCAATATATCAATATCGTAGTTCAACATATCGGTTAATTTATATCGACAACAGGAGGTGCGATACGATATCGATACGATATCTTTTTTCGATATCCGTATAATCGAAACATTTTTTTCGTTCTCTCTATGACTAGTCGTAAAAAATTTTGGAATTTAAGTAAAAAATTAAATTTTTTTTGCATGAATCGCAAATATCATATGTCATAACACTCAGTTTAAATGGGTTGACTTTAGGGTACATCGACATGTGTGTGTTTTAGCAAAACTATAACGAATTTTCTCATGAAACTGTACGAGGATGCTAAGAAACATATGTAACGTATGTAGAAACAGATATGTTTACATAAATTCTCACTATTTTCACTTTTTTAATACTAGTATTTAAGTAATTTGTTGCTTAAATTTTTTGCAATTCCATTAGCAAATTTTCATATAAAAAGTGCAGCTATCACTTGTACTTGCATAAATGCACGATCTTTTCAATGTTCACGTGTGGTTTGTTTACAATAAATGTATTTTATTTTATTTTTTAACAATGTAAAACGTGTTTCACCATTTCACTACTTTTCTTCAACAAAGTAAACAAGTAAACAAATCAAAATGGCTGTACTACCCCATGATACAAAAGAGAGCGAGCAAGTTAGAAACATCGGAGTTTTGATGACAGTATACATACTGTGAAGAAATGTCACTTTGCGAAAATTTTGAAGGTAAGGATACGTATTTAACAATTTTATTTAATTATAATGTAATTTCTTCTTTTAGGTTGCAAAACAGCAGCGACTTAGTCACATTCTTAAGGTATGTATTGAGACTTTTTATATGTTTATAAATTTGAATTGATATTTTTGTTTGTTTATAGATTTGGGATTCACCATCAGCACTTTCAACGCTTGCATCTTCATCGCTAAAACCTTCTGCCTTCAACTTCTTCATCGCCAGGAGCACCACCAGTACCTTCTATCCTCAGCTCCTTCAACGCCAGGAACACCATGGGTACCTTCCGCCCTCAGCACCTTCACCGCCAGAAGCACCATCAAAGTGTAGGTCCAACTTGTCAAATTTTTCAAAGTTGTAAGAAAACTTGATTTTTCTGAACCACCACAAATGATTGGCAACTCTTAATATATATCAAAAGAAAGGTAAACCGATTACCCTACTTTTGATTATAACACCGTTAAAATCGCTTTACGTTTTCATAAAAACTTTGCAACTTTTGTAAACAGCTATATATAAGCAGTGAAAAAGTGGTAAAATTTTGCAAAGTTGTAACGAAACTGGATTTTTGTGCACCATTACAAATGATTTGCAACTGTTAATATATATTAAAAGAAATGTAAATCGATTACTTTTCTTTTGATTATAATATTGTTAAAATCGGTTAACTATTTTATAGAAATTTTGCAACTTTAGAAAACATTATATGTAAGAAGTGAAAAAGTCGTAAAATTTTGCAAAGTTGTAATATAACTGAATTTTTGTGAACCAATGTAAATGATTTGCAACTGTTAATATATATCAAAAGAAGGGTAAATCGATTACCTTTCTTTTGGTTGTAATATTGTTAAAATCGCTTAAATATTTTATAGAAATTTTGCAACTTTTGTAAACATCTATATGTAAGCAGTGAAAAAGTGTCAAATTTTGCAAAGTTGTGATAAAACTGAATTTTTGTGGACCACTATAAATTATTTGCAACTGTTAATATATATCAAAAGAAAGGTAAATCGATTACCTTTCTTTTGATTAAGGTAAATCGATTACCTTTCTTTTGATTATTATATTGTTAAAATCGCTTAAATTTTTTATAGAAATTTTTCAACTTTTGAAATCATCTATGTGCAAATAAGTAATACTAATAATAAGAAATTAAGAAACCACATATGTATGTAAAAATATATTTATTAATGCTAATTACAATTTTTATTCATAATATTGATTATTAGCTATGTATATTAGGTAATCAATGCATTTTGAAAATAAATTTTGCAAAATAAAAATCAAACATTTTTTGGATTTTTTATTTAAAGTTTCTAAGGTTATTTTGAATTCGCTGTGAAGAAAATGCAACCCTGCGTCGGCTGAAAGGGGCAATGCTAGACGAGTGCAGCTATATGTTTTCCTTAGGAAGTATCTGAATGAGTGCGACAGTGATGCAAGGCTCACACGTACAGGGGGAAACTGGTGAAAATCTGCACACCGCCCATACAAAGTTCACAAGATTTTTCACCAGTTTTTAAGTGAACGAAACCCGCGGTTTCACCAGATTTTTCACCACTTTTGGCTGGCAGGGCATTTGACTTTTAATAAAATTATGACATTTCTTCAAATTCATGCTACCTGATCAGTAGAAGAAATAGTGGTAATTTTCTAGGGTGGGGTAACAACCCCTAAAAAAGGTGCGGAAAAGTCGGGAGGGGTACCAAACGACGCGTTTCGGCCCCCCTAATAACAATCCGGAGGGGGGAGATAATATTATTAACCATTTAAAAGTTGTGAACAAAAAACTTTTGTTAAATTTCGTTGTTTTCTATAAGCAATTACCACGTCAAAAATGCACTAAATCACCAGTTTCCACTTTTAAAACACTACTAAAACGTTTCCGGTTATTATTTTATGCAAACCAAATCAATTTATTCACTTTTATTTTATATATTTCGTTAATAAAACAGAGTAAACAAACTTTGCGCCTGCTAAAATTATTATAACCTCAAATCGCTTGTATTGCCACTTTATTTCACATTTCATTTGCGCTATTATACTCAGTTTACACTATACACTTCTTCTTCTTCTTCTTTTTACTTTCATCTAAATAAGATATTAGAAAATCATAAAATGTAAGTATTGTTTTCTTCTGTTAGGTAAATTC